GTTAGGGACCATGAGTGATACAAAAAAACTTTAAGGATGCAATCTGATAGTTTCGTAAACGTCAGGGACGTTTTGTGATAAAAAGCCAATTGTAAAAGAAAAACATATTGGACTTAGGCTTAAATGGGCCAAGCAAAACTAAGCCAAACCATCAAACATTAGTTTAATTTGGTTCGATTTCCTCAATTATTTTTGTTAAAGTCAAATCAAACCAAAATATTATATTATAACTAGTTCGTTTGCAATTTTGGGGTAAAATCGATTCAATCTGGACATTGCCCCCTCTTAATAGTGCTCTTGTCAACCTCGTTATTGAGCTTGCTACAACCCGTTGTAGTTTGATTATCCATTAACTCTTACTCTAGTAATTTTTTTTTTTCATAATATTGAAACATGAGTTAAGTTCGAATGTAAGACAGGAAACATTACATCTTGAACATGATATTAGTAGGGGGTTAAATATCATTTTTGCCCCATAATTATGTCATAATTGTCAATTTACTCCTTAGACAATTTTTTCGGTAAATTGAGAACTTAAACTATATGCAAAATGGCCAATAAGGGACTCAACGTCAATTTCTTGGATGTCCATCAAAATTTCTGTAAACATTAATGGCAAATTCATAATTTTAAAGGAAATAAAATTAAACATTTCTAAAATACTATATAATAGTAAAAATGTATTTTAAAATTAGAAACAAGAGAAAACAAAAAACACCACCTCCATCAGCCTCTGATAAGTCCACCCCGTCCACATCGACCACATCAACGCTAGCTCATTTGACGTTTCACCTCCTCTCTCTCTTCCGCCACTTCTCTTTCTTTCTCCTCACATCCTCTCTCAATCTCCATCCTTTTTGTCTCTCCCTCCTAGCGCCAGCTCCTCTCTTGATCTCCCTCCATCTATTTTTCTCTCTCTTCACCAATACTACAACATACACGCAAACACAAAAAATAAAAAACAACCAGAACAACTCCTACAAAACCATAACAACCACCAGTCGCATCGAGACCCACATATGAAAAACCACTTATGCAGAACCCACACCTAACCAAACTAGCATTCACGACCTAAACGAATCCTCCGTACAAGATCGGACACCACCGCTAGCGCATCACCACTGTTCAATCCTTGCTCTACAATCTTCGACGTCATTTGCTCTTCCTCCACTAGTCCAGCCACCAAATTAACATACTCACATCGTCAAACCACCACCACAAACAAACTCGCACCATCAAGTCCTTAATTTATCAAAAACCTAGTTTAAGGGGTTAAATTGACAATTATGACATAGTTTAGGAAGCCACAACGACAGTTTGAGTGATCATGTAAGTCTTATTATGAGGCAAGAAACATGTTTGTCTTTTTTTTTTTTTTTTTTGTCAATAAACGTGTTTTTCTTTGGTCATGGCATATGACATGTTTACCTTAGTTGTGAGGAATGTGACGTGTTTGTTTTGGAGGCATGGCCATCATGTCAAACTAATTTCATAATTTCATTTTCGTGATCATGGATAATGTTGACCTCAACTAACCTCAGCCCGTTTATTAATGATCAATTAATAAAGTGATATTTCCCGGTCGAGAAAATGATGTGTGGATGCGAGGTGTGGCAGCAAGATGGCCTTTGCTTTTTTTGGTGGTCTTCTTTGTTTTTGTCTTGGGCTTTTGTTTCAGCGATTTCTTTGTCAAGACAATTGCATTGTGTATTTCTTCTTTTAAGAGTCCTTTTGATGGTTTTGCCTTTCCAAAATGCCTTATTCTGAAGGTTGATGTGTATCTTTCATTGTCTAGTTTGGCAGATTTTCCTTCATTTAGCAGTCCTAGAATTTCAGTCACTGCATCTGTTGTGATCTTGAATGATTTGGTGCCAAATTTGAAAGACTTTGTAGCATGATCAAACTGCTTAAGCAATTTTACTAAGTCGAGGTCCGACTTAATCATGTGCTTCATGTTAACTCTTCCGTTGTAAAACAGCTCAGTCAATTTCCAGAAATGTGTTTTCTGGAGGAATTCATTTTGCATGTCATTTAACCTATCTTTGACGTCTGTAATGATGTTGTTGAACACATTTACATTGCACCGAAATTGGACATAGTCCGGGTGTGTTGCTTTTCTTTCATAACTTGGTTTTGGTTTTGGTTTTGTCTTTCGAGCTATTGATTTAATTCTTGGTTGTGGTTGGTTTTGAGCTTTCTTCTTTTGTGGTGACTGTTCTAGTGCCATTTGTGATATGAAACAAGAATGAAAACACTATTAGGACAAGTAAATATAAACTGCTATACATAAGTATAAACTGCTATGCAGTCTGTGTAGAACAAAAACTACAATGTAGCACCAAATAAGCATCATGCTAGAACAAGTAATAAAAGTAATTCAAAACCCAAAACATTGCATGCAAGCATAAACCCAAAACACAAGACATAAACTACATTGCATGCAAGTATAAACCCAAAACACAAAACATAAACGACATTGCATAAACCCAAAACCAAAACTCAAAACATAAACAACATTGCATGTAAGCATAAACCCAAAATACAAAACAAGTAACAAAAGGTATTCAAAACCAAAATTATAAAGGAACACAATTAAATAAGCAACTGAAACTAATAAAACATACAAAACAATGCAAACAAACAATGTATATGAAACCAAAATTGAACTACTATGCAGTGTTTGATATTGACACACAATATGAAGCAATTAAACAATCAATCAAATCAAAAAATGAAGGTAAAAACTTCAATGCACTATACTAAAAGCAACATGAATTATACCAAATATAATGGAGTATAAAAAATGAACAACATTAAGACTAGTGAGGTCAAAACCCAAAACACAAAACATAAACCCAAAACATAAAGGGAGATTCACTATTATACCCAATATAGGAGCCCAAATTATTAAAAAAAACCCTATATGAAATAGACTTTAGAAACACACATAAAGCCTATTTACAACATAACAAAAAGGCTTTTAACTTCTTATAAATTACAAAACTGTCATCGATTTCTTAAAACAAACCCAACCCCAAAACCTCATTAAAAAAAAAACCCAAAACACTCAATAGGGGATCAGAGTAATTTAATAATCAAAATTAAATTCAATAGGGCCAGTTGTCATTTTTTGGGTTTTTTCTGTGTTTGTTTATAGAAATTAAATGGTGTATGGTTTATCTATATTATTAGTGCTAAGAATTGGTATATGACTAAATATCTCAAATATAACCTACATTGCATGCAAGCATAAACCCAAAAACTACTGTGTTATAGTGTGCCCTCCATGTGTTTGTTAAAATGCCCAAACCAAAAGTAGTTATTAATCGAAAGAGTCATGCATTTTTTCAAATGCAGAATCAACAATACCTAAAATCCCTAAAATCTCTAATCCCTAAAATCCCTAAAACTGCTATGTAGTTTGCGAAATAGGCGAAGAATATTTTAGAAATGAAGGCAAATGTGTTAGAGCCATTAGGCACTACGATGTAATTTCCGATTTAGTGAGGGAATGAGAGAGAGTTTCTTACATAGTTTCCAAATGCGTTGTAGTGTGTTTTCGTTGATGTCTGCTTTTCATAGTTTATGATTTCTTTTCGATTTCAAAAATATATTTGAGAGCAAAAAGGTGAGTGTTTTTGCGAAATTTTCAGAGTGAAGTGACGGAGAAGAAATGAGGAGTGGGAAGATAGGTTGAGCGCGTTTGAAGTTGTAGCGTGAGTTCCGGTTTTGATGTCGTAGCGGTTTTTGTTGTCGTTTTGGGCTTGGGCTGTAGGAGTTGATGTCGTTTGAAGGTGGAAGCTGATGTCACTTGTGTTTAGGCTATAGGAGTTGGGCAAGGCTCACAGATCAGTGGACAGCTAGAGGTTGACCTCAAATGAATTAACGAAATTATTTATAAAAAAGCTGTAATGGCAATCATTGTAATTTATGGGATTTTTTAGTTGTAGTTTTGTAATTTGAGGTTGATTTATTAGTCATTGACTTCAAGTAAATTAGGTGAAATTAGTTTCCTATCTATCACAATATGGAACTCCCTATTAATTTTAAACCAAAGCTCCCTAAAATATATGGAGTGCCACTTGGAAGGACAATTTTAGAGCAACATTTTTCTATTAGATGTGTGTTTTCATCAACAGTGCTATTTTGTTTTTCAATTTGTTGTCTTTATGTTTTCGTTGTTATTTCCCTTGTCCTAGTTGGAATGGTTTGCCTTGTAATTGAATTTCACCTTCGTAGTCACATGTAATTTTTTGCACTTGATTATGAGTTGGTGAAAGCTTTTTGTTACTTTAATATATTAGGCTCCTTTTACGATGAGCATAGTAAAAGATTTAAATTTTAGGCTTCATAGCAAATTCTTTATGGCACGCTATCATCATAAGGTGTAAAATTTATTATAATTGTACTTAAATTGTATGGTTGAGTAAATGCACATGTAACCAAATCAACATACTCACATCGACAAACAACCACCATCAATAAACTCACACCATCAAGTCCTTAATTTACCAAAAAATTATTTAAGGGGTAAATTGACAATTATGACATAGTTTAGGAGGGTAAAACGACAGTTCGGGTGATCACGTAGGTCTTTTTATGAGGCAAGAAACATTATTTTTTTGTCATGGCAGAGGACATGCTTACCTTAGTTGTGAGGTATATGACATGTTTGTTTTAGAGGCATGGCCATCATGTCGTGATCATGGATAGTGTTGACTTCAAATAACTTCAGCCCCTTTATTAATGATAAAATAATAGAGTGAAATTTCCCCCCCCCCCGAGAAAATGATAGCAGCAAACGTTTTTCTTGGGATGTGTGGATGTGAAGCTTGCTAGCACAGTAACCTTCGCAGCCGAGAGTATGAGTTGTGTTGATGACGTGGATGATGCACTGGATCTTGGACTTCATCAAAAGATTGTGACTGAGAAAGGAACACCTATCTGTCGTGGATTCACCTAACTGTCCTAGTGTTGAGATTAGTGTCCTAAAACTTGGTATGGTTGTGACTTTTGGCCCTACTGGACTAACCACTGAAGTTAAATATGTGGAGATGCACTATGAGTCGATTGCTACACCTGCCACATTGCTATCAAGTTCGCTAAACTCCTGACCAAGATTGACATGCGATCTGGTAAGGAGCTTGAGAAAAAGCCCAAGTTCTTGAAGAACGGTGATGCATGGCTTATTAATATGATTCCCACCAAGCCCATGGTGGTTGAGACTTTCTCAGAGTATCCTCCACTTGGTCGATTTGCTATGAGGGACATGCGTCAGACTATGGCCGTGGGAGTCATCAAGAATGTGGATAAGAAGGATCCTACCGGAGCCAAGGTCACCAAGTATGCAACCAAGAAAGGCAAATGAATTGTGCGTTTCGGGGTTTCAACAAGTGATGGTCGTACTGCCCATGACTATGTTTACATAAATTGCGTTAAAATTCTTGCCGGATCTTCAACTGTCATGTGTGCAAAGTTAAAGCCATTGAGATTTAGTCATTGTATCTAATGTTGAATCAACGCATTTACAATGAATTCAAGGCAAAAGTCATTTTTATACCTGGCATGTTTCAAGTATATTGTGTCCAGTGTTCTTCATTGAAACAGGAGTTCAGACTAACAAATAGTTTCATGAGCCTGCTACTACTAAATTAGATGAGAATATGGGCCTTTGCTCTGCATATGTTAACAAATATAATTCACTTGACAATTCGACACAAAAAAAAGTGTGTTCGTCGCTCTCGCCTAAGCTTGAATTTTCGTTCCCGTATTTTAAAATAAATTATTTAGTCTATTTTAGACTATCATTTGTAAATAAAATAAAATTAAAAAAAAATCTTCTATTAATTCTTGTTTTCTCAATATGGAACGAGGTCGTTAGCTTAAATTCAATGAACAAGAACATTTAGGTGCCCGAGATAACTTAGTGTCAGTTTGGCATTGCTTATTTGGGGTAATAAGTGATTTTAAAAAAAAATTGGGAAGCACAGCCCGTTTGGTAAACTATGAGAAAATCACTTATTGTTAAAAATTGCTGTGAGAGAAAGCTATAAGGGAAAGCAGCTAATGAGGTGCTTTCATTTTCTGATTATACGAGAATCAGTTTCGAAGAGGCGCTAGGTTTAATGATTATGTAGGAATCATTTTCTGATTACGTAGGAATTAGTACCAACAACACTCTTAACAAAAAGTTTACCAAACGCCAAACTGCTTTCTCTCACAGCAAATCTGACAGTGATTATTTTCATAGCACAACAATGCCAAACTGGCCTTAGTAAACTAGTCTCTCAAGTTTAAATTTATGCTTCCGAATGGATAGTTCATATATCCCATTTTGTCACGGCAATGACCACGCTTGTCTCAAAGCTGACATATAAAATATACGTTAGATAATTTATTCTTCCGTAAGTTGTCAAGAAAGGGCATTTGGTCTAGTGGTATGATTCTCGCTTAGGGTGCGAGAGGTCCCGAGTTCAATTCTCGGAATGCCCCATTTCTTTTTTCTTTGTTTTTTTTGTTTTTTTTGTTACTTTTAAAACTTGGTTTTTTCTTTTCCTCCCACACAAGAAAGAAAGTAGTGCTTTTTCCTCCTACTGGTCTCCGACTCTCTGCTGCCTTATTTCTCTTCCAATCTCGACTTCTGGCGTCGCGGCTTTTCTGAAAATGGATCAGTCTATACAGAATGACCTGAATGCCCCTCACTCCATGGGCACCACCATCATCGGCGTCACCTACAATGGCGGCGTCGTCCTCGGTGCCGACTCTCGAACCAGCACTGGTAATCCCTCTCTCTTTGATTTTCGATACACCTAATGACTTTGAGATTTCTGCAAACTTTCACGTAAAGTTCAAATTTACTGAAGAGAAAAAAATTTGGATTTTTTATTTGATTTTTCACTGAATTTGTCTTTTTTGTTGTTGATTATTAGGTGTTTATGTTGCGAATCGGGCATCCGATAAGATCACTCAGCTTACTGATAATGTCTACTTGTGCCGTTCCGGATCGGTATCTCTTTCTCTCTGGTTCCTCCTTTTTCTTTTTCTTTTTTAAATTTTTTGTTTTTATTTAATGCTGTTGTTCTTGCTTATGATTTCGGTTGTTTGCATACATGTGTAAAGTTGTTTTTGTTTTCTTTCTTGCTAAAGTATCTCTTGTATTATATACTTCCGTTTAAGTATACTAACGAAATAGCTGAACTACTTCAATCGATCATATACAGAAAGATGTTAACTTTTCACTTAGCTGCATGGTTGAAGCAATACTTACAACAAAAATTCTTTGAGTAAGAAAAATCAGCAAGATAAAAGTCATCTCAGTGTCCTCAGATTTTGGGCAAAGAAAAGGTCAGGCTTGGTGTCTGGTTAGTCTTTTAGGCTTTAGCATGCCATAGAAACAAGAACAACTCAATTCGACTCACCCTTAATCCGTATTTGGGGTTGGTCACATGGATCCTTATCAGAATTTAGTTCCGATTGGCCGCATAAATTTTATTTTGCTGCTTAATATATCTAGAGCTAATATCCTCCAATGAATATTGGCAGATATATCCTTCCTAACCACTTTTGCCTCTTTCATTCTTTATCTCCCTTTTCTCTTGCTTTGTTATTTTCCTTTTGGATCATAATCCCTCAGGAACATTGTTTGACAGATAAGTAACTTTAAGGATTTTGTCTTTTGGGTGTGTTGGTTGAAGATTTTGTAGTTGCTCTACTTCTGTTGTTAATCTATTTAATTTTATATTCTCAGGCTGCAGATTCTCAAGTTCTATCAGATTATGTCCGTCATTTTCTCCATCAGCACACGTAAGTGAATGAGCAACTTCTGGATTTACTTTAACTGTTTTTTCTTCCCTTTTGTAGTTAAAACTTCTGGATCCACCCTATGATGATTTTTTTTTTTAAAATCAACTTACTAATGCCTTTGGTGCATCTCTTGGATTTCATTTTGTTGCACCACCATATGTTTTTAGGCTTGCAGAATGCTTTTACTTTCTTTGAGCATTATGCTTTCTTGCTGAAAATTTAATGAAACATTAACCATCGTGGAACTGAGAAATAGTGTTCAAAGTTATGCATAAAAGATTGGAGTTGTAAACATTTGAAACTTGTGGTAGTAAGCAATTTTTAAATTTTGGAAATTAAGATGCCAGATTTAAGATTTGCACTACATTGTGTTTTTCTGTTCATTATTGTTTACTACTATTTCAATTGTCATTCAAAATTCTCTCTTTTATGTAGGATACAGCAGGGACAGCCTGCAACAGTCAAGGTTGCTGCAAACCTTATCAGGTTGTTTGCATACAATAATAAGGTTTGCATCTATTATTCTTTTATTTTACCTTTAGTTTCTGTTTTTGTCATTCAAAAACTTTGAGAACGTTGATCGTTCTAACTTCTACCAAAAATTATCTTTGTTTAGATTCTTTTAGTTTTCCTATTTGTTTTCACAATTTCCACTGATGCACATTTGAATGTTTGGTAAGTAAACAAGATTAAATGTCATAGGTTTACAAGTACTCCATAACAAAAGTGTGGGAATTGGATTTGTTACTTTTTAATGATAATAGTTTATCAGAAAGTACAAAGAGTTTAAAAGTGAGCTGGATAGAGGTCAAGTTATTTCTAGCAACTTCCTAGAAACTATTTTGAAAATTTGTTAGACTGAGCGTGGAGTTTACTTATTATTGAAGTATAACATTTCATAAGATTGCTATGGTTCTTCAGGTATTTCCTTATTTTCCTATTGTATTTCTTATTTCTTATGTGTTATTTTTAAAATTGGTAGAATATGCTACAAACTGGCTTGATTATTGGTGGTTGGGACAAGTACGAAGGAGGTAAAATATATGGAGTGCCACTTGGAGGGACAATTTTGGAGCAACCTTTTGCTATTGGAGGTATGATTTCATCAACTGTTTCTATTGTTTCCCTTGTCATGATTGAAATGGTTTGAGTAAATGCACATGCACTCTGTTTAAATTTTTGTTGCCACTTGAATGCTATTATAGTTTATGGCTCTCAACAATATTTTGTCATCCAGGATCTGGCTCCACTTATCTGTATGGCTTCTTTGATCAAGAGTGGAAGGAAGGAATGACCAAAGAGGAGGCTGAGGTATGTAGTCATTATGTTTCTTACAGACTTATGTACTGCTTCATTGGTGGCTTCCTTGTTACTAGCAATGTGCTAAGATTTGGTTGTCATCATTGTTGATATTTATGTATCTCCAAGCTTCAGTATTCATCGACACCAATACGTAGTTCCTTGATCGCATCCACCTTGTCCGGAGAAACTAACTTTTTCCTTGATGCATTAGTACTTTCTAGAATTGATCATTAAAGCAATGGCTGCTAATTTACTGTAGAGATTGGTGGTGAAGGCAGTTTCTCTTGCTATTGCTCGGGATGGTGCTAGTGGTGGTGTTGTTCGGACTGTCATTGTGAGTTTTTCTTTTATTGTACACTATGCAATTACTTTATGGTTTGGGGAGTAGAAAGATCTAGTTCCCTGCCGATGTACCTGCAGCCATAGCCTCGCTTCTAACTTGTTCAAGATTCCGATTCTCGTAAACAAAAAAAAAAACAAAAGGGCATAAGTGCAATGCTTGTTATTGCAGTGACATGCTTCTCTTGTTAGCTTGAAATTAAGCAGTATATGATGCTTACATCAAGCTATTTACTTATATAGCATATAGTAATGCCTGTGGCAACACATTCTTTTGCCTTCCTAATGCGCTATATTTGTTGTTTTGTTAATTGGAGGTTGTGAGGATTGAACTCAAACCTTTCAGGAAAACAACTTGCTTCCTAACAGTTTTTTTTTTTTTAAATTACCATTTTCCCCCTAAAAAATAGCTAAGTACCTATGGACTTTATATGGTTTTCATTCTTGTATGGCCGTCTATCTTCCTTCCACTTATTTTCTTTTGATTGTATACTCTGTTCTGCAGATTAATTCAGAGGGGGTGACAAGAAACTACTATCCAGGTGACACCCTTCCACTCTGGCATGAGGAGCTAGAACCCCAAAATTCACTGCTGGATATATTGTCATCATCTGGTCCTGACATGATGGTAACATGAGGATTTTCATCTCCTATAAGACTAGGTAATCCCCGGTGACACCATGAATGACACACTTTCTCTTATCCTAGTTTTTGCCAGGGGGCATTTCAGTATGTATTTGGAAAGTTTTACTTTGCAGTTTCATTACCATCTCGTACAATGAAATGATTTGATTGAACTGATCTTTTCTACCTGCTTCGGTAAGTAGCTTATAAAAAGAATAAGATGGATTCTTGAACTATTGAAATTATTTGTGTGCCTTTCAAACTAGTGGCATGTTTACTAATCCGGAATTGAATTAGGGGGAATTGAATTGAGGATGAATTGAATTGAGGAGGAGTTGGATTGAGGAGAATTAGATTCCGGATTACTAATGAAGTTGTTTACTAAACCATATGAATTGAGGGGAGTTAGATTCCGAATTCCTATTGAAGTTGTTTACTAAACCATAAGGAATTGGGGTATAAGTGGTACTAATTACTAAAATGTCCTCATTTTTTGGTTAAAGTAGATGGTGTATTTGGAATTTTGAAAATTGTGTGAGGATATAATGGATAAAAAAGATGAATTCCTAATGGGTGAATTCTCCAAGAATTAGAATACCACCTCCCATTCAATAATTGAATTCCTCCAAAATCAGGAATTCAATTCCTTATGTGAAGTAAACACAGGAATTCTCTATAGGCGGAATTCAATTCCTGATGAGAATTCCAATACCTGATTAGTAAACATGCCATAGAAGTTGATGCATGGGTGCTTGGATTCTTAACTGTTTGATGATCTTAATTTTGAAACAATCAAATTGACTGGCCCTCGGGAAATATGTTGATACCTAGAATTGCTAGAGGAAAGACTTGAAAGTTGTGAGAAGCCAAAGGCCCCGTTTCATGTGGAACGAGTGGGATTGAACCCTTTTGGTTCAATTTCACTTCACGTTTGGCAAACTAAATTTTGGGTTGGATTGGACTGGACTAAAAATAGTCTCCAAATTCAATGTTTGAGAAAAACTTATAACCTCCTATTCCATGGGGAATGGACTAAAAATAGTCTCCAAATTCAATGTTTGAGAAAAACTTATAACCTCCTATTCCATGGGGAATAAGCTCTCCGAACTAGTTTGGATATTTTATCCCAAGATAAATTAAGCCATTGAGTTCAAGTAAGAGATTGAATTGATACGGTCCGGTCTTAGTCCATCCCGTAGGGTATAAATCTAGTTAATCCAAAATGACAATTCAATCCAATCCTGCGCATCAAACATTTTTAAGTTGCTTTGTTCAGCTTAATTTGGTTGGCAATATTTTTCCAGTCAACATTTTTAACATTTTGTTCCGTTGGTACCCAATTGTAGTCTTGGACAGTATGTTTGACACAATGTGATACATCAATCACTTTCGAAATTTATATAACCGATTTCACTTTCGAAATCTAATATACACTCGAAACTGAACGATAAGAATTCCATGCTACAATGCTCTTTACAATGTACTTGCGTGGGAGAATTCCAATGTGGAAGAAAAAGAAAAGTACCAAGGCAAATGAATCTTACATTGACTTCAGAACATCATCTTCGTATCAGCAAATATAAATATGCCATGCTACGTTGTTCACTTGCCCAGAATTTGGTCCTCCCTTGAACAGAACTCGGACCAACTAGAAACTCAGGAAATCTCAGACATGGATACTTTGTTCACTGCTTGTGTAAGCTGGGCCACAAAGTTGGAAGCCACCCTCAACTATTAAAAGATCACTTCTCAAATTGCTTGCTCCAGCAAGTTGTCAGTGACCAGAAAGACCAAACTTTGGTCATACCGTGCAGATTACCATGAAAGATTTTCTTAAAAACATCTAAAGGCTCCATCCAAACTGTCAGCATTTTGGTACACTACATTAGGCATTCCCACCATCTGAGCTGCTGCAAGCTTGATTTGGAAGCACAGCGTTGCCACCAAAGTCTCCATCCAAACTCATTTGCTGGACTTCTTGTGGGGACAGGATCTTGATGCAGCGAACACAGTTTACAAACTCCCTGGAATAGGAAAGACCAACAATTAAGAAACAAGTACAATGAAAAATCATGTACAAGACTCTTAATTCTTTTGGCCCTTAATGTTACGTAATAAACAAGTCTTAATGCAAAACAATGCCCAGGGGCAAAAACATGTCATGCTAATTTGGCACAATCGAACATTCAACTTCAGGAACTAGAAAATCTCCGGACAAGTTATTCAAACAGGAAAATTATGCGTGGATGTGTGCATGACCATGATATATTCAAAATTTTAAGCAGAAATGGGACTAAAAGACTTACTCCCAAGGGTCATCTCCAACTAGCAGAACATCACTCTCATGATCTACATACACAAGCTTCCAGCCTACTCTCCCTCGGTCCTCTAACTGTCCCTCTATACCAAACCTACGAGCCAGATCTTGTTTAAGCTCACCATAACCTGAATAGCGTGCAATATCTATAGATCTCCCTACAGCTCCACGTTTGTACACCTTTACAGAAACAACAGCCAAGTTAGAGCAAAAGAAAAAATAATCTTAAGTACTCAAAATGGATAGCTTCATAATGTATTTTGAATTTTAATTTAAAATATCAAACCTTGGTGTATGTCCTCATTCGCTGAAATTGAGGTGCTGGAGCCCATGGGCCACTGTCCAGAAAGCCGCTATCATTTATGGTTGAGTCAATTGAATTGAATGCCATATCTGGAACTCCAAAGGACTGGGAAACCATTGAAGATGAAAGTTCCTGCTGGGCATCTTTTGCATTTCCATAGTTGCCAATCATGCCTCCTGAAGAGAGATTATTTGAAAAATCCTTTCCTAACCCAACCGTGCCCTTGGCCAACATAGGATCAGGATTCAAGGGTATCCCCAATTGGCCATCAATGTTAGAACCATATGAAACATTGTTTCTATGATCTGCCGGAACTTCCCCTTCTTGACTGGCTTCTCTAAATAACATTGATTGTGGATTGAAAGACAATGGGGCAGTATTCTGCTGTAAATTGACATCATTTTGAGAGAGGCCTACTGAAGTTGTTGAAGATGATGTGTCCAAGTAATCTGTCTGGGCAGCTGCACTGTTCAGGTATGTTTGTGCTGTAAGAATTCCTTGACTTTGATTGCTAGCAATGTTCACTGAAGGCTTAACATCAGACTTAAGCTGGAAATCTTTCAATAAGTTACCATTCGATGGCATTGTTTCTATGGCACTAGGACTCAAGATTGTGGTGGCAGACTGAGCCATGTCCTCCCCGACTAATGAATTTCGATGGGCTCTGTTGTTCATCAATGGTTGAATTAAACTTGGACAGTTGTTTGTGGATGGTGAATTTGAACAAGATGGAACCTCATCTGTAATCCCAGACTGCCCTCCTCCTGCACCTCCTGTCATTACATTGCTTACAGCTGTAGAGAGTTGATTGGTTGTTGGGGTTGGGAGAAGTCCCATATGCCCGGACATTTCAGGCACCATAACGGGTTGCTGCTGTTGAAGCTTTGGCTGCTGAGGTGGATGAGAAAACCGAACATTAGTTTGGCTGTTATTATTCTTTGTCAGCTGCTGTGGCATTGTTCTTGACTGAGGATGCAAGGTTGGTGCCATTTGAGGCATATCTTGCATTTGGGGGGGAGTCAAAGGCCTGGAGAAGCTCTGGGACACATCTAACAGTTGCCTCTGCTGGTCCTGGAGTTGGATAAGTTGAGCAGGCTGTTGCAGTGCCTGCTGTGTCAAAAGCGACTGCTGTTGCTGTTGAAGCTTCTGTAACAGCTGAAGTTGAAGCTGATTATCAGAAAGATGTTGCAACTGTTGGTTTATTTGATCAGGAAGTTGAGAGTGAAATTGCTGTTGATTTTGACCCGCAATTTGTTGTTGATGCTGCTGCTGCTGCTGTTGATGCTGCTGCTGTTGTTGCTGCTGTTGTTGCTGCTGATGCTGCTGCAGGTTCTGAGGGAGATTTCTTTGAAGATGGTTTTGACTAGATGATTGCTGCTGAAGGATACTATTAGTTTGAACAAGGGTCTGAGGTTGCAGAAGCTGGGATTGAACTTGGCTGGAGGGTAGAGATTGATTAAAAGAATTTTGCCTGGGTTGTTGAGTAATATCACCCAACTGTTGCTGTCGTTGAATCATGGATGCTAATGGGTTCATTGTGGATGGCAGCTTTTGGAGTTGATCAAGCTGTTGTGCTTGCTGAGGTAGTCTCTGGGCATTAAATTGTAAATTGCTCAACTGAGGTATTTGAGGCCCTGACATGCCCAACTGCCGCGAAAGATCCGCTCCAGCAAGGTTTTGCAGAGCAGAACCAGGAAAGGAATGCATGTAATTTGACTGCATTGAGTTACCCGCGGAAGAATTTTGCTGCATGTTCATCCACTGGACTAAGCTCAGGCCAGATAGAACCTGGGGATCCTTCATGCACATATCATCACCAAGCCAAGGCATTGTCCTCTTAAAAAGATTATCTAAATCAGAGGATTCCTCATCTGCAAAAGGAAAAATCAAAGGTTGTTAGATGTCTTTCCACTAAAATTCCAAATTCAAAATGTCATTAAGCTTTTAAGGGCCTGTCCTGGATGGCTCACACTGAGGTATAAAATCACGCCAGGAAAAGAATAAAGAAGCTTCCAAAGGACTTAAACATCATTTAGTACGTTTTGTGCCATGTCACATACAATGGATCACAGAAAAGATACTATTGAAGTCAAAAGATCAAACATTGATCATAACAAGATGAATGGCAAAAATCAGTCCAATCAATCCATCCCATATCATTCACTGTTTTTCTCATTTTCGTTTGTTATCAAATTCAGCGGATACCATCCACTATTATCCCAGACAGTTCTTACCAAGCAGAAAGCAATGTAACACTAAGATTGTCTTAACTGACACCCGGTCTAGGTCCAATCTAAGTAGGGAAATTTCATCCCTTTTACATGTTAAGAATTGCTTAAAGACTATACAAATTAAGCTGAGACAATGAAGAACTAGTAGAATTTATGGTTGCTATATTATGTCTTTTACCTGGCATTCCTGGTTGCCGAGGACGCTTTGATCTGAAGAATGGTGGGGGGCAAATGAAAAATGGAGCGGTAACAGGCTCAATTTCCCACATTGATACCCGATTACGCCTTTCCCCAGCAGTTGACTCATCCCAACCAACCTATTCAAAGATATGTCGGGGATTTTGGGTTATTTTACATGAACAAGAAGATGACCAACAAGATGACTGGAAGCAACAAGGGGAGCGAGGATAACAAGTTTCCATCACATTTACCTGCAAATTGCGCCATTGTGAGCTCTTCCATCTAACAGGATCAAGATCACTAATTCCTGTAATTGTACCCATGTACCTGTACAACAAAAGCTTCTCATGTTCAATTCCAAAACTATCAAAGGTTTTTATTTGTCAAAACTCAAGGAACTGGGCGAATAACTAAAAAACCCTGTCAAATCATCAACATCTCTAGTTTGTAAAGTCTAATTGTGAATTATCTGCCAGATCACTATTGCCAGGATTGCCAAAATTCTGAACAATAGACTGAAAGACAAGTATACAACTACCTTCTTGTTCCTGACTCTTCAGTTTCGAACATCATACGAAATCGCATCCCCAGTGATAGTTGGTTGCCACACGCTGCTTTGTAGTACTTGGCTAATGGAATAACAAATTCTGATGGACTGGCTCTGCATATAGGAAGAACATTTCAATACAATTTCAGAATAAATATACTGAATTCTTTTAAATAGTGACAATAAGTGATTCACTCCCACAATCTAGGATTCTATACATGTAGAATAAAGAAGATATTTTAGAGTAAAGAATGAAAAATGTTAACCTAGGATTGTAGAACACTGTGAAGGGGCTATTATTAGCGGCAGCATGAGCTGCAGCTGCTAGAATCCCAATGTGCATGCTATCACTTGATAATACTGAAGATGATAGGTTGGTGGGTTGCCTGTTAGCGCGTCTAATTCCCAAAAGAAGCTGCTGCTTTTCATCCCTAATCACGGTAAGTGTGTATCACCATAAGAGTTTGTTTTTGCACTTCATATATTTTCAAGTGCAAAAGAGGGAAGAAAAATCAAAAACTATATATGTAACTTGAATGAGGCCTTGTTACCAATGAATCCTACTTACAAGCAGAAATTAATGCTCAAAAACAGAAACCCCTAAGATTTTCAATTCATTGTGAATACCTAATGAACAAGACAGAATCGCCAGCGAAAAGCCTCTTCCCACTAACAAATAGGCTCCATCCTGTTGTAAGCAAGTGGCGTTTTGGTTGCCCTGCATTAAGCAAAACAACGAATAACAGATGTTTAGAAATATGATCATGATGGCACCTTATTGATCCATGAATACAACATTCCAATGGCCAAACAAAGAACATACCACGATAGATATGGCGGAAAGTCCAAACAGTATCATGCAAATCCCTGGCAACAAGTTCTTGAGCAGGTGGTTGCATGGAGAAATCCTATGTAGAAACAGGAGCACTATTAAACTTTGTAATTAGTGTGGCAAACCTTGGAAATGAGGTAAAACTGCTTACGAGAGGAGGGAAAATCTTTTCTGCTGCACGACGGGGCACAGAGAAACCTCCATGAGTGCTTGTATCACTTGCTGTCAATGTTTTACAGAAAAACTCTGGTTGGGGTTTATTTGACTTGAGGGCAAGATCTGATCTCAACAATGCATCCTTGTCAAACTGCAGACCAAGAAGTTGAGGAATTCAGTTTCCAGAAATTTTTACCACCTTTTTTTTCATAGAAATTTTTTACCATCTAAAGAACAAAGGAATTTTACTTAAAAGTGACAGAAGGGTATGTCCAAAGTATTATCAGAACATAATGACTTACTAGTCATTTTGAAAAGCCCTTACCGAGGGAACAGGCTGAAGTGTCATCTGAGCATAAACTTCGTCCGTTTCGGGGTCCGCCTAGAACATCATACATAAGTGAGAAAATGAATTAGAAATGATCAAGAATATAATCTATTTGCAAGGTAATACTTAAAAACAGATAAATCAGCCATACATGCAAGGTGACATTGTGAAGGAGACATAGTAGCTTGGAGGGAAGATTCGGGTAGTTTGGTATTTGACCATCCACATCCTTTTTCATAGATGCTGCAACCTGAAATCAGAAATTTCACTCTCAAATCAGGACATAATATAACTTCATACATATTATAACTTCAAATAGCAAACTTATCCTGTATGATGATTGCTCAATACATAAAAACTAAAACTTTGAATTTACCACCTACTTGGAGAGATAGAACGAAAAGACCGAGGAAATTCTCCAAAAACCAAAAAATACAAGGATCAATAGCTAAATGTAACTACTTTAATCTAACCAAGTACTTAGCTACCACAACAATGTTGAACAAAAACAACAAGAGTAAATATAATGGGGAAGACCCACAACAACAAAAATAAATAGTACTGTTTTCTTTTTCCGTTAATCCTAAATTGTTCAAACCCATCAACCCCATCTGCTTTATTAGGTGAAAATTTATATCACACCCAAAAAAAATTAAAAAAAATTACATACAAAACCATGTGTTTTCTAAAATTAAGAAAGCATTGAAAAGGAAGGTCAACAACATATTGCTATTAACAGAAGCAGCCTGCACAATAAATGAGCTCAAAAATCATAATAAGCATTGATGAGTTCAGGAAAGTAGAGTATAGAATATTAAGGATAAGCAGAAGCGCTCAGACGGCGCACGATAGCAACAACATTTAAACACCCACTTGTTCGCTGTGACCTTGAGGGAAGTACACCACGTGGGTCCCAGCCGGCGGCAAGTTCACCAGCGGCCCGGCGCACGCTTGCCATAGCTCCGGGTTTATGATCTTCACATTCTCTCCCCCTGCACAAGTGTCACCCGTTTATTCGTCAGAAACTCCCACAAACAATCAAAAAAGCCCCGTTTTTTCCGTTTGTTTCCCGAGAAAACGGAAACGAGAAAGAAAATAAAGGACCAACTGAAACAGAGAAGAATCTGGATTCTGGGAATCTCTTAACATAACTGCCGAGGAGCAGAGGCAGTTAGTTAGAGAGTCCCGAGTCCGTACAAAAATACTTGTAACGAACAAAACGAAGTAAAAAACAGACCCAAAAAAATTTCACAACAACCGTATCGATCCATCCATCCACCGATTTTCGTGTTTTTTAGAGAGACAGAGACAGAGACAGAGCGCAGCTCATAGATAAATATAGAGAGAGAAAGTGCCGACCTTCACATGAATTGGATGGACCGTTGGCCGCAGCAGCTCCGGCGCCGTTCGCGGGCGGCTTCATTGTTTGCTCCGGCGACTTGGGTTCTTCGAAAGACTGGATATATTGCCGGAAAATCTCACTTACTCATCTCGCCGGAGATATATCGGGGATAAATTGGAGCTCCTTTTCGAGCTCTTCTCAGCTCCCAGACCACGCACTCAGATCAACGAACTAGATTTTCAAGTTCTCCGCTGAGCTCAGATCAGCTAGCAAAGTCTACAGCCCCCAAAAAAGATTTTAAAAAATGGAAAAGAAAAAACTTTCCCGTAAAAGGTTGCAGATTTTCCCGGGAAAGGTTTATGGGCTTTTCCGGCGAGGTGAAGGGGGCAAAACGGCGACGTAAAAGGAGGGAACAGAGGGGCAGAGAAAAAGGAGGGTCTGCTGAGATTAAGAGAGACCAAATGCTGAAGCTTTGCCCCCTATCTTCCCCTACACCACCCAGACATTTCCTTTCTTTCTCTCCTCTCTCTTTCTTCTCTCTCTTCTTCCCAATGCTCAATGCTCCCTTTTCTCTCACTTTCTCCCTACATAAAAATAAACAATTTTCTTTTACTCTTTGTGTGTTTTCTTTTCTCTCTCTACCTGTCCTTGAAAATGGCACTGACTAATGGGGCTTTGGCTCTTAGTTGACCCTTGGATTTGGGTTTGTGGTTAGTTCTGTTTTTCTCTTGTTAACCATGGTTAATGTAGCTTAATCTTAGAACAACAGTGATGACAAATAAGATCCAAAGTATAGTGCTAGCGACAGTTGCCCACAAACAGACAGACGAGCATTGCTCAATTACCATGATCATATCAATTGCTATTCAGAATATTGAGATTTGTTTCAAAATTATGCTGCTAGATCAACTTAATATTCTTTTTCTTATGCTTACACTAGCTGGATTTTACATGCTATCAAGAGAGTTGAGAAAAGAAAAAAAAGTTAGTAATGGTAAGAAATTTTGCTTTGTTTTGATGTTTTTTCAAAGCATTATTGTTGATCTTACAATTGTTCTAGTTTATTAAAAAAAATTACCCTTTTGTCCCTTTAGCAATATCAACTAACCCACCACAAGTAAAGTAACACATGATTATTTGTTATTGGCTAAAATTTCCAAATATGATTAATGCGTTATTGACCATTTTGTTGACCGTCACCATCGCCATCCATTGTGAAGCACATGATGAAAGTTATTTGTATATTGGTTCTTTGTGTTTCCTTGTTCTTTTCATCTCCAACATGATGTTTTTAGTGGGGTTTTTTGTGTGTTAAATTTCTCATCTAATAAATTGTTTTTTTTATTGTCTTAAAAACCTAGAAAATGAAAATAAAAACAAAACTCATTTATATGATTTATTAATTTGTATTTAATGTTTATGACAAATATGGATAAATTGCATATTTAAAAGTCTCAATGCCTTGTTGTTCTCATTGCCAAGTAACTAAACCTAACGATATAGCTATATAGGGTTCATGCACAAAGGTAGTTGCCTCTTGAGGCTAAAAACTCAAATACGTAAGAAAATAGGGCAAGTCGTTGTGGTTCAGAAATCATTGAAGCTTTGCTTTAATGCCATAATTGTGAATCACAAGACTCACATCACTAATTAATGGCATGCTTGCACTAATTAATGGCATCACCAACTATTTTCCCTCTTTAACCTTCCGGTTAATAATTAATAAGCAAATCTTGCAAATCGAATGAGTAAAAGTTTACGAGAAAAAGTTTACTAATCGAGGAAAAATACGAGGATGTAAACTATGTGTACATTCATAATTTAATAAGATAATGTCCTAAATAATATCAGAGATACCTCAAATCAAAATCAAGTGCATTTTGTGAGTTTATATAGGCTACATCGTTCCCTAACGATGTATGTAAGTTGATACCTTTCTCCATTTCTCAACAATTTGTTCACGCCAAAATTAGTTCTTTAATTTTGACTATAAATTATGTGAGTTCTTTTATTTGTTTATATCCACACCATTTATGAACTTCATTTGTTTATCACACATAAAATACTAGTATCTAACATGCTACATTATTATTTTTTCAATACAAGTGATAGTCTAAACTATTAAGGTGGCATGAGAGTTCGAACCTGAGACCGTTGGTCTACAAGTCAAGGCCTTTTTTAACTAGGTTAGACTATGTTTGCGTTTTCCTTTCTTTTTAATCAATGAGAGAGTATTAATTCGAACTAAGGATATTTTCTAATTTTGAGAAGAAGAAAAAAATCATTAAATTAGTTGAAGAATTGGAATAATTCTAATTGTTTCATTTCAATCCCTAAAACGTAAATATGAACACTTCCTTCCTGTGAGTATGTTCTATTGCTTTACCAACCCAACGTTTTATTGACCAAAAATGAAAAATCTTCTTGTGATGGAATTGTATATTGGTTGACAATTGACATGATGAGTAAGTCCCTAAATAGTAAAAAGGACCCAAAAAAAAAAGAGTGGGTTCATTGTATTCAAAGGGCAACAATAATTACGAAAAAGAAAAATTAATATATAGAGAAAGAGGGGCAAATGGGTCATTACAAAACCACCACTATAGGGGTAATAATAAGACCCTTGTAGACTCTGGAATGGCTCCTCTATTATTGGCTCTGAGATCCAAGGCTTGCGTGATGATGACCGACCTCATAATCTGCACATGCAAAAATTGCACAAAGAATGGTCGCCTCATTTAATTATAAGCTAACAAATCATGATTAGAGTCTGAATAATTGGAAATTAAGAAACTTTACCTTTGCTTTGCTTGCTTGTTAATTGTTACTTTACTACTCGTTAACAAACCTTTTACTTGTCCTTAATAACCACTCCATGATGTAGCAAATAATGTCACCTGCTGCTGCGCTAGGGTTTTTTGGTAGGAGAAATTCTCGAGTCTAACTGCCGGTCCGTAATCGCCATTACGTCTACAAACATGTGAGACTCCTGCATTTTAATCCTACACATCTCACATTGACTCCTATCTCATATCATATGTAGAGTGTCTGGCGTGTTTGCAAGTGTGCTCGTATGGATGAGTTGGTTCGAACTCGAGAATCTCTTTTTATATATGACTTTCTTGAATTTTATGTTTTTAACCTTTTTCAAAATTTGCATTTTTTACCAACTGGTTACTGGTTGTTGGTGAATTAAAAAATAATTGAAATTTATAGGGGACGATAAAAATTGTTTCCAACCTTTCAAGCTTCATTGGTCTTTTTCATAGACCCAAGACTTTCATAGTTGAACCAGTGATCTTACTTTTTCATGCCTACTCTTTTCTCTTTGTATATATCCATATAGCATACTTTTACTATAACATACAATTTTTAATACGAGTGTAAATAGACAGAAGATGAGTACGAAAATCAGCTCCTATATATAACTTTAGATCTCATAAAATTCAATAAAGAAATTATACACCAAAGTTTATAAAAATAAAGAGTCTTCAAGCGATAACTACATCAGCTGAATTAATTATAAGAATTTTTTTTCCCTTCTACTTTTTCCTTGTTGTAGCTTGGTAAGTACAATATTATAACTCGTGTTGTTCTAAGCAAAGTTATGGCATTTATAAGGATGAGGTAAGGCTTAAAACCCCATTTCTTTTAGTTGAAAAAAGAAAGAGTAAAACATGTAGCATAGCTAGGGTCACACCATATTTGATAGTGACTTTACGAGTATTCAATAATTCATTCTTACACGTAAATTATAATTTAACGTATGAACGACTGAATGAGAAAAATGAAAGTGAATACTTTTCAACTTTATGATTTTCTCGTAAAAAACAATATATGTAACACATTACATGACATATATGATATGGGCAAATAGTCTTTTTTTTATAAAAAAATACAAACGATAATCTAAACTACAAGGAGAAAGAGTTTCTCACACACACACACTCCAAGTGTCATGGGAATTTTTAACTAAGACTACTAGTCTGCAAGTCAATATCATTTTACTTCTAAACTAGGAGGAATAATGAGTAACAAAGATATTGCGTTGAGCTTATTGTTGTGATTTGCTTCCTTTTCGGTAAAGAAAAAAATGGAGCATTTCAATGGCTTTATATTAGAAAGGGAATACATAGGCTGTAATCCCACTTCCAAGCATCGATGGGAAATTGAGGTCATCGTCTTCCCTATTCATAGCTTGGTCAAAATTCGTTATGATCTTTTGTTTCCCTGCTCTTTTTTAACCCTCGATCTTAGAATCTATACGATTTATTTTGTCAGAAATAAAAAGTGAGGGAATTTTTTTTTTTTATTGATAAGACTTTTACTGTTGACACTGATAACCTCCAAATGACTTGGCCATTTTTTCTTGTCCCCTACTATCCTATATAATTGCGTCACAATTTTATTCGCTTTTGTGCTTGTAGGTTTACCTATAGCCATTTTTTAAAGGTCATTTACTCCTTGTCTTGCCGGAAGGTTGTGAGAGATGACTCCTGGTGTGGCGTTGTGTGGTCGGGTCGACCGACGAGGTTGATGATTCATTTGGTTTAATTCAATTTGAAACTATTTTTAGAGTCGATATGATATTTCCGTACAAGTCACAAGTTATTTGTAAAGTCACTGTTTTTTTGGTATGTTTTAAATTTATGATCCCATTTGATCACTTTCACCGTGCTTAAGTTTCTATTAATAAAATACCTCAAAGAAAAAGTTTTTTTTTTATACGAGCGATATTAAAGAAGGGGAAATCGATAGTATGAATAAATGCTCTTAATCATTTGAATTACAAAACCTTTATATTAATAACTTAAATGAATAGTTATTTGTTTAATGATTTATTTTTGGTACATCATAGTTATTTAATCCCAATAAACAAATGCCATTGGTGTCACGGTGTGGATCTACGTACCGTGTTTTCTGGGAGAGGTGGGTGGTAGGGCCTACTGGTTTAGCTATCATCAACTGTAAGCTGGTAAGCTGGCTTGGTACAATCGACGGCCAATAATAATTTTCCTACGAGTCATAATTGTGAGGAAAATTAATAAAATTTTCACTTTGATTTAAACTAAGGCCAAATTCAGTATCATAATATTTTAGATAATCTAGGTTGGTTCAAATTCAATTTAGTTATTAACAAGTGAATTTGCTACTCAACCCCAGTTTATTACACGAATTCAAAATTCATTCAGAGATTGGCTACTCTCACTAAAAGCACTAGAACTTTATCTTAACATTTTTCAAAGTACTTAAAGACTCGATTTCAAATTCGTATTGCATGTATTCATGGTTTATCTTAAAATATTCTACGTACTTAAAGAAACAGTGAGTGCTACGAAATTTTCTGATTAATTAAAAAAACTTGGAAGATATTGAAAAAAATTCTATATAATTGGGTATAAAATTGGATGGTGGTACCATGATCATCCTAAGGTGGATGTGTTGTCATTATCAATCATGGCCACAGAATTTGAATAATAAGGTATTTCGAATGAGAAAACAACACAAACTAATGATTGATGGATGTTCATTTTCATGATTCTATTCTCTTCATTACCCAAATATTTGTGGAATCATA